CGGCCTTTCGATTCGGCTTGACTTGGAGTTTAGAAAACGTCACTTAAGTCATTCTTTAAGGAAGATGTGTTCTGAGTTTTGACGACAGGATATGGCAAAAGTTTAATATATCAACTTTTTTTATTATTATTTATTTATTCGTTCATGCCGTTTTACAACATATTACTTCATTTCCATGAACGAAAAAAAGGAACAGGAAGAAGAAAAAATCTTGTAATACCTGTCCCTATTTGTGCACAGTACAAAAACAGCTGCTTTATGAATGGATCAACCCCAATCCTCACCTCAATCACCAAACATTTTCAGTAATCATTTTCAATAACTTGAGGGAAAACACATTGGACTCAGTCATCCACAGCCGTTCATTGCTCTGGTTGGTTAGATCTATCCTATGGCGTGCAGAGGGATATTGAAAGACAACCTTTTATCCCGCCCCTCTGATTGACGTATGCCAATTGTGAGTTCCCAGACCTAACATATTGATAGGTCTGGCTTGCCAGGCACAATTTGAGCGAAATACAGGAACGACTCAACAGTCTGCCATTGGATAACAACACTTGCCAAGTGCAATAATAAAGTCATTATTTACTTGCCCTCAAAGTTGTTCCTAACCTGCATGAATTTCTTTCTTCTGCTGAACAACACAATAGGAATTTGTGCAACCAAACAATTTGTGCATACTATTTTTTTACATACTATGGAAGTCAATGTTGCCTCACAACTGTTTGGTTTCACATATTCTTCATTCAGGTTTGGAACAACTTGAGGGTGAGTCAATGATGACAGCATTTTCAATTTTGCGTGAACTATCCCTTTAATGCACTGTAAGGTACAGCACAAATGCATTCATGTGACGTTGCAACTTCCAGTGCATAAAGTTTCTTAATTGCTTCCTTGAGCTCAAGGTAATGCTGAAGTACACTGCCTCTCCTTCACTCCGATCAGCTGATTTCCATTCATGTGATGATCATAAGCACAACAAACTGTGCTCAAACTGATTAACAACTCACTTACCCCTCTGTGTCATAATGAGGTACAGACATTATCTTGACGTGCATTGATTTGGATTAGGGTTTAAACCAGGAGAGGCCGGTCACCATTCAGAGGGCATGATGGGTCATTGTGTGGCAGATGGTCATGAATGAGTGGACTCCCTCGGGCTCTGATCAGATCAATCCAGAGATATCCGCCTCTGGCTGCTGTTAATGACACCAATGATGGATCATCTGACGTCATGCTGAAGCTCGTGGGTTTAGCTCTGCTGAAACATGTTCTCACTGAGTTATACTGAGTATTATCATGGTCATGAATGCATCATTTTGTTTCCTGGTGTTATCCATTGTTAGTAGGCATGTCATGGTGGGGATCTTTTCACACCGGTAAATAAATAAGCGATAACACCGGATGTGGTGGAGGAGCAGGGTATTGAAGTCTGTTCATTATCAAATTATCTGGGAAAATAATGTAATCGGTGTATGGCCAAATGATGATGACAGAGACCACCACAGCAAGACTAATTGCTAGATTTGTTAGATTATGCAGTCCTTCCAGAAAAACGCGGAGTTTTTTTGTGATTGTTGCGGGCAAAAATCCTTGATTACGCGGGCCGTTTTCTTTAAAAATGCGATGGAATATGCGGGATATTTATGCAATTTTATGCGATGAAATTGCGGGAACTTGCAAAAATTGCGGGAACTTGCAAAAACTGCGGTTTGATGAAAAAGAGAAAAAAAGTGATTCCCCCAACACCCTGTTCTCACTAGGCTACTACCTTAATGTAAAGAGTCATTTCTTATTACTTTCTATGATGTAGCAAGCATACTACATCATAGAAAGTGCTGGGAATATTTAATTTCTCATCTTGTTTTATTTTTATTAAATTTTCAAAATCACAGAGTTTGATATCAAGTTCTTGACATTTCTTTTACACATTTTCTGATAAGTATAACATCTGAGAAGTAGCCTAAAACATAATTTGAAAAAAAAAAAAAAAAAAAGATAGAGGGCATCACAGACATATTAAATTCCTTTAGCAGAGATACAGATCTTTTGGGCTTTTCGATATTTTTTTAAAAATTTTAAAGACTCAAAATACATTTTAAAGGCTGTTTTGAAATAAGCAAAGTTGGGTTTTGAGTTACTCCACTTAGTTTGATGAATATGAAATTTTCCTAATAATAGAAAAAATCGATAACATACATTTTTCTTATAGGAAAGTCAAAATCATTTTGTATGAAGAAAAAGGCAAATTTAAGACAAGGTTGCAATTCATTTTAAAACCTAGAAATTGAGACATCTCATTCCAAAAGATTGAAAAATATGGACATTCAAACAATAAGTGCACAATAGACTCTCTTTCACAATTACAAAATCAGCAATGTTTTATTTCAGACTGTAACGAGTGTAAATAAGGTGTGGCCCCTTTAAGAGCTGCGCGCTGAACTGTCTGCAGTGTGTGCGCCTCAAACACCCCATGTGTGCGGGTAATTTCTGTTTGATGCTTATTCTTTTATATGATTTTGTTTATTAAGTAACGATGTGATGGTAGAACGTGTGACAGACAGTTATACGAGTTCGATTTGTGAGATGTCAATCGCCTCCGTGAGTCTTTCTGGCCTCTGCAATAACTTCAGCTGTGAGCTATCCCGTCGCGTAATTGCGTCACTTCATAACGTTCCCATGGAAACAGGAGGAAATGGCTGCTCTTGTATGAAGCAAACGCAACATTTTTCAACTTTCTGCGAAGATATATGTGACTTTTTTTTGCAACGAAAATGCGAGGATTATGAAATCATGCAAGCCCCGCATATTTTGCATGGAAATCGGCATTTTATGCGGCGAAAGTGCGGCTTATTCGAAAAAATGCGGCCCCCGCATAAATATGCGGACTTTGGCTGATTTTGCATTGAATTCAGCGATCGCATAATCGCGTTTTTCTGGAGGGACTGATTATGGGTGTACTCACACTAGCCAGTTTGAACCGTGCCCGAGTGCGTTTGACCACCAAAGCGCGGTTCGTTTGACTAGTGTGAGTGCTCCGAACCGTGCCCGGGCGTGGCTCGATTAGCCGGCCCTGGCCCGCTTGGAAGAGTTGGACTCGGGCGCGGTTCGCATGCAGTGTGAGCGGTAATCCCCAATCAGCAGTAGGGGGTGTGTCCGCCCCAATCAGCAGTAGGGGGTGTGTCCATCCCAATCTGCAGTAGGGGGTGTGTCCATCCCAATCAGCAGTAGGGGGTGTGTCCGCCCCAATCAGCAGTAGGGGGTGTGTCCATCCCAATCAGCAGTAGGGGGTGTGTCCGCCCCAATCAGCAGTAGGGGGTGTGTCCATCCCAATCAGCAGTAGGGGGTGTGTCCGCCCCAATCAGCAGTAGGGGGTGTGTCCATCCCAATCAGCAGTAGGGGGTGTGTCCATCCCAATCAGCAGTAGGGGGTGTGTCCGCCCCAATCAGCAGTAGGGGGTGTGTCCGCCCCAATCAGCAGTAGGGGGTGTGTCCATCCCAATCAGCAGTAGGGGGTGTGTCCGCCCCAATCAGCAGTAGGGGGTGTGTCCATCCCAATCTGCAGTAGGGGGTGTGTCCATCCCAATCTGCAGTAGGGGGTGTGTCCATCCCAATCAGCAGTAGGGGGTGTGTCCGCCCCAATCAGCAGTAGGGGGTGTGTCCATCCCAATCAGCAGTAGGGGGTGTGTCCATCCCAATCAGCAGTAGGGGGTGTGTCCGCCCCAATCAGCAGTAGGGGGTGTGTCCGCCCCAATCAGCAGTAGGGGGTGTGTCCATCCCAATCAGCAGTAGGGGGTGTGTCCGCCCCAATCAGCAGTAGGGGGTGTGTCCATCCCAATCTGCAGTAGGGGGTGTGTCCATCCCAATCTGCAGTAGGGGGTGTGTCCGCCCCAATCAGCAGTAGGGGTGTGTCCATCCCAATCTGCAGTAGGGGGTGTGTCCGCCCCAATCAGCAGTAGGGGGTGTGTCCATCCCAATCTGCAGTAGGGGGTGTGTCCATCCCAATCAGCAGTAGTAATAATAATTCCTAAAAAGCTGACATCAGTTCATCGCAATCTCGCACATCTCTGTTATCATCAATGAATCTTTCATAATATCTATACTTTGTTTTAATTAGAGGATTTGCCAGCATACAGAATTCAGCTTTGAACAAAAAGTCTGTTTTGAGCGGTGAGGGAAGTATATCTTAAATGCTTCTGATTGGCCATTGCGTTCAAGAAATCAAAATATATGTCTGTGATTGGCTAAATCGCTCAATTCTGCAAACATGTTAGAAATAGAATCTCTAGCCTGTAAATCGCTTCTATTTTGTTTTAGTTGTTCTTGTTGCTTTTCTGCGACAGAAAAATAGTATTGTATTTTTTGTTTTATTCATAGATATTTCTAGTTTGCAGGAATATATATTATACCAATCATAAGAGCTGTGAAAATAAGCAATTAATATAGGAATATAAATGCACTTAGATCATAATCTTGTACAGTAGTTGTCAGTCACATTTTGGCTATTAACAAGAGAATGGCGAAACCTTTGGTACATCAAAAATATGATATTTGATAAACAGATCTCACTTGTTTTCTGTTATTAAATCAGGATTCACTTGAAAATTCACATTTATCCTCCAGAACTCATTCTAATATTATAATATGTTTTAATGTTTCAGACTCAATAGAAGTAAAAGATCAAAGACAAGAACTGAAGTAAAAGTTGATGATGCTGTGGTTTGTTTCAGCCTGTTGACACCAATAAAACAATTTACAGAAGATCTCAGACATCACCATAATGAATGAGCTGAAAACAGGGAACTTTTGGAGACAACGAGGTTTTTCAGCTGCTCAGTTTAACATGATGGTCCTGTGCTTTTTAAATGCAGATTGGATAAAAACACAGTGATCACAGTTCACACCTGCAGTGAAGCTCCTCCCACAACAATTCACCAATAAACACTGGGATTATTCCCATCATCATTCACCTTGTGTGTGTGTTATGTGTTTGATCCGCAGGTGTTGTGAGTGCGGGGCGTCTCTCTCACACTGGTACTATGAGAAGGACGGCCGTCTCTTCTGTAAGAAGGACTACTGGGCCAAATTTGGGGAGTTGTGTCATGGCTGTTCAGAGCCCATCTCCACCGGACTCATCATGGTGAGTCCAACCCGTCCGAAACCGCATCTCCGCCGTCTCTCCTCACCTCGGTCTCACCGGCAGCCGCTCTAGTTACACTCCATTCACACACTTACTGCAGCCGGATCACACACGAGCAAAGCATGGAAGAGCTGATCTATAATTCAGAGATCGTGTTAATGAAGGGAAACTTTGTGTGGCCTTTTGTTCGAATGCATTCACTGCTAGCTGTATTATTTAGTGTTTCCACAAGAGCAAGAGTTGTTTATTGGACAGGAAAGATTTATGACCTTCTGAATTCCTTGATTGTGCCTGAATCCTCATATATATCCTCGTTTGCACACAGGCGTGGTATTGCGGATCTGTGGCCAGTACAGGTTTTCTTCTGGTTCGTTTACACAGAAATCATTTTGACCCCCTAAAAAACAAAATCTGCCTTGCCAGTTCTGCACTTGCTACGCTCTATGTACATTTACCGCATAGATTTCAAGTTATGGCTGAACAATTAATGGAAATAAAACTGACACAGCCTAATTACATACATTACAGCACTACTATATGTGTTTCAGAGGTATATTGTGTTCATACACAGGAGAGCGGGTGTTTCACTGTAAATGCTGCTCCATATGAACGTCACCTCTACATCTGCTTCAGTTTCAGTCAATTTAACATGTTTTTCGGAAAGCAAACAAGTCTTTTTTTTTAAAAGAAAAAAAAATCGTTTTTTTAATGAAAAAGGATCAAAATCTGTTCACATTTGTCACTTTTACAGCTTCACCAGTTTACAAAAAGATCCTTAAACTGGAATAGCAAGACTCTCCAGTGACAAAGTTCTTTATAATACCAAACCATAATATCTCTTTAAGTTATCAACACAGAAACTATTTACAAAAGAAGGGGGGAGGTAGTCGCATTACTCAAATCAAAAAGGTATTTGGTCCAATATGAGTTATATACTCTATACATTTGAAGCAGAATTCAACAAACAAGTCCTTCTGATAAAAAAAATCTCTGTATTAAAAATATTTTTTAAGATATCAATCCAATCCATTTTTCGGTGTAACCAGAGTGTCATCTTCTCAGCAATATGAAATGATAACATGACCAGCATTTCCTCTTTAGAGCGAAAATGAAGATAGATTGTATCATTTCTGAAGAAAGCATAAACAAATTCATACAGACTGAACCTTGCCCTAGTTATGGTTTCCTCAGGTCTATTACGGTACGTTCACACCACCGACTCGGTTGTCAAAAAGTACGGGGACGCAACAGCAACCGTCATTATAAAAAGGTTTGGTGTTGACCGTTATTATTTAAGTTTTTTATACCGCTTTGGTCACATTTGGTCAGGAAAAAAATAATAGTTAGCTATTTTTGTTTGCGGTCAAATCGGTGTCAATGTGAGCAAATGAATTGCATTCCCGCTTTAAAACGACCATTCGTAAATATTTCGAATAAAAGTTGCGCTCATGCGGTCTCTATAATGGTGCGTTCACACCGGACGCGAATTGATGATTTCAATGTTAAGTCAATGCAAAGGCGCGTTAAGCGCGTAAAAAATTCCTGCGGCGTGAATGAGGCATAGAGCGCGGCGTGGAAGGCGAGAATACGCCTCATTCGCACGAATGGCACGAATTGAGCGTCTGGCGCGTTTAGCGCGAATGATTTAGTTAGTGCTATTTGTGCATTCACACGTTTGATGTGAATTCGCGTCTGCCGCCTGAGTTGACAAATCTGAACTTTGGCGTCAATTCGCGGAGCGTTAACCAATCAGGAGGCTGCTGCTTGCTCACGTGATGAAGTGTCTGGATGCTTCAATAAATTATTTAATAATATGACTAAATGCCTGGTGTGGCTCTAATGCACAACAAAGCAAATATTTTATCACTTAAAACTTTATTTCAATATACGACACATATTCATTTTGTATTGAATGTTATTCATTCCATATCTAGATTATATGAAATATTATTATGATGTAAAGACAACCAACATACATGTGTATACCCAGATAGCAAACTGACATTGAATCAACGTGGAAATATGACATCGAAACAACGTTGATCTGACATTGTTTTGCTCATCGAAGTAACGTTGAACCAACGTCAGACGCGTCATTCTTTCAAAACTAACGGAAAATCAACATAAAATCAACGCGTTGTTTCAACGTTATGAAAGCAAACCAATTTTCGATTTTATTTAGCTTTGAAGAATGCCGCGTCTGACGTTGGTTCAACGTTAATTCGATGAGCAAAATCAACGTTGTTTCAATGTCATGAGAGACGTCGTTTCCACGTTGATTCAATGTCAGTTTGCTGTCTGGGTAAGTTCGTGTCTGGACATGAGAGAAGAAAAAATCCCAGGACAGGTTAATAACTTTTGGAGGCTGGCTCTATTTATCATCAAAACAAATGACAGATTAGGTGGATGAGGGTGAGGGTGATCCTAACTGTGATGCGGGACAACAGGTCATCAAACTGGGCGCGGGACAGGCGTAATTACCGCTGACAGCGGCCGTCATCCAGCGCAGCTCCTGGAGCGAGCAAATGGTGAAACTCGCCAAACGGTTCACCTCCGAAGGGTCCGGTGGACACAAATATACGGCGACGATGATCCCCACGGCGCTGTTCTGATGAATGCTTGGTTGACATAAAAACAATGGCCGCCAACGGATTTCGATTTTGACAAGCGTTACGCGTGTACATTTCGCTTCAAACTTTTGTTTTTAGCACAAAGTGGTCAAGCGTCAAACTAGACGCGTCAGGCGCGAATTTGACGCGCTATTCGCGTCCGGTGTGAACATAGCATAAGTGATGTCATAAATGATAGAAAAACCCAGCAACGGCGATTATAGCTTCTCTTCCATTTTCTCGGAACTAATGTTTTGGTAGGAATGAAAGTTTATATTGTATGTTTCTCCGGAGTCAGTCAGCGCGAATAACGTCTATATTCTGATTGGTTGCTGGTGTTTTGCCGCTGAACCGCGTCACAGCTCATTACCATAAAGTTGAGCTACTTTTCAACTTTCTGATTGACGCTCAAAACGCCCAAAACGCGACGCCAATGGATTTGACGCTCCTTACAGCGGAGAGAAGCCAGCTTCCATTGAACATGAATGACTTCCGGACGCTTTGGAAGCTCAAGTCGGCGGCGGTGTGAACGTACACTGACACACGTGTTTTGTGCTTCACACTCAGCCTTGGTCGATGTAATTTGATATTTCATGTTCCCTAAGGCGTTTCTTCCTCATGTTTCAAGAAAAAAAAAAAAAAATAGGATTATGGCTGACAAGATGGGAAGGGTTAAAACACAAGTACTTACATTAGAGAATGAAACAAAATGAGAGCTTAAAGGGTTAGTTCACCCAAAAATGAAAATTCTGTCAGTATTTACTCACCCTCATGTTGTTCCAACCCCGTAAGACCTTCGTTCATCTTCTGAACACAAATTAAGATATTAAGATCGCTCCTGCATACAGTCCATAGGCTTCTTGAGGGAATGACACTTGCTGGCAGTGAAAAGTCATTAAAGACATCGTTAAAATAGTCCAAGTGACTACAGGGGCTCAATCTTAAGTTTATCAAACGACGAGAACACTTTTGCGCGCAAAAACAAACAAAAATTACCGCTTTATTTCAACTATTCACTTCCTTCTCCATGGGCCTATAGTCAGTTAACGTAGTGTGATTGCGTAGAGCTACGTCACACGTAGGCTCACTATTGGCTGACGCTGGTCATGTGTGTGACGTACAATAACAGAAGCTTACGCTATTAAACTAGTAACCTGACTCGAGGCAGAGGGAGAAATAAACGAATAGTTGAAATACAGTCGTTATTTTTGTAGTTTTTGCGCACAAAAAGTGTTTTCGTCATTTAATAAAGTTAAGATTGAGCCCCTGTAGTCACTTGGACTATTTTAACGATGTCTTTAATGACTTTTCGAGGCCAGCAAGTCATTCCCTCAAGAAGCCTATGGACTGAATGCAGGAGCGATCTTAATATCTTAAATATCTTAATTTGTGTTGCGAAGATGAACGAAGGTCTTACGGGGTTGGAACAACATGAGGGTGAGTAAATACTGACAGAATTTTCATTTTTGGGTGAACTAACCCTTTAATTGTTGGCGTTTTTAGAAATGTAGTTTTTCTTCATTTCGTTCCAGTTTTTGAATTCTCATGTTTAATTTGTTTACATTTTGATTTCAAATGAAGTTTAATGAAATGGATGTGATGGAGGAGGTCATAATAACAATTATTTTCAACTAGTACATTTCATATGCAAAAAGTCCTATAACCGTTACAGCCAACTCAGTAACACAGTTCATTCACACAGTTTATGCATGAGGTTTCATTTGTGACAGATGAATATTTCAAGCACAAACGGGTTAAAGATGTTCAAAGTACTGCAATAGGCCGTCTTGCTCGTCTCAAACTCGGCCCACTGATGTCTGATTGAGCCGGAGACCAGGATCAGTGTAACGGATGGAGGAGAGTAATGCAGGTGCTGTGAGTTTAAAGGGATAGTTCACTTTGAAATTAATTGTTGATATGTTTTATCTTACCTCAAGGGCATCCAAAGATGTAGGTGTAGGCCATCAATGTCATCAAGACATTAAATCATGTTTAATCTGGACCCCCTAAACCTGCATTATATGACTGACAGACAACAACGGTTTGACCTAAAAATATCAAAATTGAAAATACTGTGGAAACAAAGACACCTACATCTTGGATGCCCTTGAGGTAAGATAACACATACCAAAAATTAATTTCAAAGTGAACAATCCCTTTAATCTCAAATCCACCTCTTTTCAAACTATTTCTTCTCTTTCCCCATTGCGTATCAGCTTAGAGAGGCATTTATTTAAAAAGAAAAGGGAAAATGTTAGAAATAAAAGGCCTAACTGGTATCTAATAGTGAGAATGAAGTGTTTATTACTTTATGGCTAGAATACAGCAGCATCCATTTATGATTTTATACACTGAATATGTTGTTATTATTAAACGATACACTGATATGCA